CAACTCCATCACCAACAACTCGTCCTTCAACAACTCCATCACCAACAACTCTTCCTTCAACAACTCCATCACCAACAACTCCATCACCAACAACTCTTCCTTCAACAACTCCATCACCAACAACTCCATCACCAACAACTCTTCCTTCAACAACTCCATCACCAACAACTCCATCACCAACAACTCCATCACCAACAACTCTTCCTTCAACAACTCCATCACCAACAACTCTTCTTACAACAACTCCATCACCAACAACTCGTCCTTCAACAACTCCATCACCAACAACTCTTCCTTCAACAACTCCATCACCAACAACTCCATCACCAACAACTCTTCCTCAACAACTCCATCACCAACAACTCCATCACCAACAACTCTTCCTACAACAACTCTTCCTTCAACAACTCCATCACCAACAACTCTTCCTTCAACAACTCCATCACCAACAACTCTTCCTACAACAACTCTTCCTTCAACAACTCCATCACCAACAACTCTTCTTACAACAACTCCATCACCAACAACTCGTCCTTCAACAACTCCATCACCAACAACTCTTCCTACAACAACTCCATCACCACACTCTTCTTACAACAACTCCATCACCAACAACTCTTCCTTCAACAACTCCATCACCAACAACTCTTCCTTCAACAACTCCATCACCAACAACTCTTCCTACAACAACTCCATCACCAACAACTCTTCCTACACAACTCCATCACCAACAACTCTTCTTTACAACAACTCCATCACCAACAACTCGATCACCAACAAGTAAGACTTAAAGGACAGTATTTTATAAACAAAAAACAAATGATAATATTATTTACAAGTGAGACATCAACTGTATTTTTTTTCTTTCAAATGCTCTCCCTGCAGCTCCTCCTATTCTCTTTGAATACATCATCTTGGCTGAGTTGAGCACCACAGATGTCACTCTAATAAATCAACTGAGTACCATTCTGAGAAGCATCCGTTACCCCTTTATCCTCAACAAACGCACAAATCCTTGATGTAAACATTTCTACAGGTGCGGATACAATACTGTAAAATATGTGAAATATGTGTTGGTGTTGTCAACCCTAAGTGTGAATCTACAAGTTGTAAACAACCTTTACTAATATGACAGTTAGAAAAACTCATTACATGTGTGAAATTCATTGTGTTTTGTTTGGTCTCAAGTTTGTTCTCCGAGCAGTTCTGGTTACCAGTGCAGATGTGAGGATCAGTATCGTTGGTCATGTGACCAGTGTTTACAGTATACATCCTGTGACAACATCACTGGGGACACATGTGGATGCATCAATGCCATTCCTCCTGATGGACAATACTGCCAGCCTTCTGGTCAAAACAGTAAGTTGGTCCGCAGTAATCACTGCCATCCTGACCAGCATTTGATGTGACTTATTGTCCAAATCTTTATCCTTAATTGCATGACAATCCCTGTGTCTCACTATGTAATTGCTTGCTTTTGGGTTGTCGAAAGACAGGAGCTGGGCCTGAGTCAGAAGGACAACTTTGGAAACACTGCCATATGTTGTAGAGAATCTATAATTGTATTTTATTGTTTTTAACTCAAATGCAACGCAAAAAGGATTAGGGCCACTTATGATGACCAAAAGTGATGTTTTTTGTTTGTGCCGGTAGTTCCCAATTTTGATATTCAACTTTTTTTCTCAAACTAAAACGAAAATCACCTTGGGTCACATTAATATCGTACAGTATGGGGAATTTCAAACATTCTGATGGCTCTAGTTCTTAAAATATGCATTCTTATCATATGCAGAAGCAATTAACTAAGAACTCCTCTCTCTTTGACATTCTTACAAGCCTTTACCCTTTGTCGTCTACAACACTCCATCACCAACAACTCTTCCTTCAACATCTCCATCACCGACAACTCTTCCTTCAACAACTCCATCACCAACACTCTTCTTACAACAACTCCAATCACCAACAAACTCTTCTTACAACAACTCCATCACCAACAACTCTTCTTACAAAAACAACAACTTCCATCACCAACAACTCTTTCTTACAACAACTTCCATCACCAACAACTCTTCCTACAACAACTCCATCACCAACAACTCTTCCTTCAACAAACTCCATCACCAACAACTCCATCACAAACAACTCTTCCTTCAACCAACTCCATCACCAACAACTCTTCTTACAAACAACTCCATCACCAACAACTCTTCCTTCAACAACTCCATCACCAACAACTCTTCCTTCAACAACTCCATCAGCAACAACTCTTCCTTCAACAACTCCATCACCAACAACTCTTCCTTCAACACCTCCATCACCAACACTCCATCACCAACAAGTAAGACTTAAAGGACAGTATTTTATAAAACAAAAACCAAATGATAATATTAGTTACAAAGTGAGACATCAACTGTATTTTTTTTCCTTAAAATGCTCTCCCTGCAGCTCCTCCTATTCTCTTTGAATATATCATCTTGGCTGAGTTGAGCACCACAGATGTCACTCTAATAAATCAACTGAGTACCATTCTGAGAAGCATCCGTTACCCCTTTATCCTCAACAACGCACAAATCCTTGATGTAAACATTTCTACAGGTGGCAGATACAATAATGTATATATGTGAAATATGTGTTGGTGTTGTCAACCCTAAGTGTGAATCTACAAGTTGTAAAACACACTTTACTAATATGACAGTTAGAAAAACTCATTACATGTGTGAAATTCATTGTGTTTTTGTTTGGTCTCAAGTTTGCTCTCCGAGCAGTTCTGGTTACCAGTGCAGATGTGAGGATCAGTATCGTTGGTCATGTGACCAGTGTTTACTGTATACATCCTGTGACAACATCACTGGGGACACATGTGGATGCATCAATGCCATTCCTCCTGAAGGACAATACTGCCAGCCTTCTGGTCAAAACAGTAAGTTGGTCCGCAGTAATCACTGCATTCTGGCCAGCATTTGATGTGCCTTATTGTCAAAATCTTTATCCTTAATTGCATGACAATCCCTGTGTCTCACTATGTAATTGCTTGCTTTTGGGTTGTCGAAAGACAGGAGCTTGCCTGAGTTAGAAGGACAACTTTGGAAACACTGCCATATGTTGTAGAGAATCTATAATTGTATTTTATTGTTTTAACTCAAATGTACGTAAAAAGGATTAGGGGCCACTTATGATGACCAAAAAGTGATGTTTTTGTTTGTGCCGGTAGTCCCAATTTTGATATTCAACTTTTTTCTCAAACTAAAACGAAAATCACCTTTGGGTCACATTAATGGTACAGTATGGGGAATTTCAAAACATTCTGATGGGCTCTAGTTTTTAAAATATGCATCTTATCATATGCAGAAGCAATGAACTAAGTACTCCTCTCTCTTTGACTTCTTACACAGCCTTTACCCTTTGTCCTCTTACAACAACTCCATCACCAACAACTCTTCCTTCAACAACTCCATCACCAACAACACTTCTTACAACAACTCCATCACCAACAACTCTTCCTTCAAAAACTCCATCACCAACAACTCTTCCTACAACAACTCCATCACCAACAACTCTCCTTTACAACTCCATCCACCAACAACTCTTCTTACACAACTCCATCACCAACACTCGTCCTTCACAACTCCATCACCAACAACTCTTCCTTCAAAACTCCATCACCAACAACTCTTCCTACAACAACTCCATCACCAACAACTCTTCCTTCAACAACTCCATCACCAACAACTCTTCCTTCAACAACACCATCACCAACAACTCCAATCACCAACAACTCTTCCTTCAACACTACCATCACCAACAACATCTTCCTTCAACAACTCCATCACCAACAACTCGTCTTACAAACAACTCCATCAACCAACAACTCGTCTTCAAACAACTCCATCACCACAACTCTTCCTTCACAACTCCATCACCAACAACTCCATCACCAACAACTCTTCCTTCAACAACACCATCAACCAACAACTCCATCACCAACAACTCTTCCTTCAACACACTCCATCACCAACAACTCCATCCCAACAACTCCATCACCAACAACTCTTCCTTCAACAACTCCATCACCAACAACTCTTCTTACAACAACTCCATCACCAACCACTCGTCCTTCAACAACTCCATCACCAACAACTCTTCCTTCAACAACTCCATCACCAACAACTCCATCACCAACAACTCTTCCTTCAACAACTCCATCACCAACAACTCCATCACCAACAACTCTTCCTACAACAACTCTTCCTTCAACAACTCCATCACCAACAACTCCATCACCAACAACTCTTCCTTCAACAACTCCATCACCAACAACTCTTCCTACAACAACTCTTCCTTCAACAACTCCATCACCAACAACTCTTCTTACAACAACTCCATCACCAACAACTCGTCCTTCAACAACTCCATCACCAACAACTCTTCCTACAACAACTCCATCACCAACAACTCTTCTTACACAACTCCATCACCAACAACTCTTCCTTCAACAACTCCATCACCAACAACTCTTCCTTCAACAACTCCATCACCACAACTCTTCCTAAAACAACTCCATCACCAACAACTCTTCCTACAAACAACTCCATCACCAACAACTCTTCCTACAACAACTCCATCACCAACAACTCTTCTTACAAACAACTCCATCACCAACAACTCTTCCTTCAACAACTCCATCACCAACAACTCTTCCTTCAACAACTCCATCACCAACAACTCTTCCTACAACAACTCCATCACCAACAACAACTCCATCACCAACAACTCTTCCTACAACAACTCCATCACCAACAACTCTTCTTACAACAACTCCATCACCAACAACTCGATCACCAACAAGTAAGACTTAAAGGACAGTAATTTTATAAAACAAAAAACAAATGATAATATTATTACAAGTGAGACATCAACTGTATTGTTTTTTCTTTCAAATGCTCTCCCTGCAGCTCCTCCTATTCTCTTTGAATACATCATCTTGGCTGAGTTGAGCACCACAGATGTCACTCTAATAAATCAACTGAGTACCATTCTGAGAAGCATCCGTTACCACCTTTATCCTCAACAACGCACAAATCCTTGATGTAAACATTTCTACAGGTGCGGATACAATACTGTAAATATGTGAATATGTGTTGGTGTTGTCAACCCTAAGTGTGAATCTACAAGTTGTTAAAACACACTTTACTAATATGACAGTTAGAAAAACTCATTACATGTGTGAAATTCATTGGTGTTTTTGTTTGGTCTCAAGTTTGTTTCTCCGAGCAGTTCTGGTTACCAGTGCAGATGTGAGGATCAGTATCGTTGGTCATGGGACCAGTGTTTACAGTATACATCCTGTGACAACATCACTGGGGACACATAGTGGATGCATCAATGCCATTCCTCCTGATGGACAATACTGCCAGCCTTCTGGTCAAAACAGTAAGTTGGTCCGCAGTAATCACTGCATCCTGACCCAGCATTTGATGTGACTTATTGTCCAAATCTTTATCCTTAATTGCATGACAATCCCGTGTCTCACTATGTAATGCTTGCTTTTGGGTTGTCGAAAGACAGGAGGGGCCTGAGTCAGGAAGGACAACTTTGGAAACACTGCCATAATGTTGTAGAGAATCTATAATTGTATTTTATTGTTTTAACTCAACTGCACGCAAAAGGATTAGGGCACTTAGATGACACAAAAGTGATGTTTTTGTTGTGCGGTAGTCCCCCAATTTTGATATTCAACTTTTTTCCTCAAACTAAAACGAAAATGCACCTTTGGGGTCACATTAATCGTACAGTATGGGGAATTTCAAACATTCTGATGGCTCTAGTTCTTAAAATATGCATCTTATCATATGCAGAAGCAATTAACTAAGAACTCCTCTCTCTTTGACTTCTTACAAAGCCTTTAACCCTTTGTCGTCTTACAACAACTCCATCACCAACAACTCTTCCTTCAACATCTCCATCACCGACAACTCTTCCTTCAACAACTCCATCACCAACAACTCTTCTTACAACAACTCCATCACCAACAACTCTTCTTACAACAACTCCATCACCAACAACTCTTCTTACAACAACTCCATCACCAACAACTCTTCTTACAACAACTCCATCACCAACAACTCTTCTTACAACAACTCCATCACCAACAACTCTTCCTACAACAACTCCATCACCAACAACTCTTCCTTCAACAACTCCATCACCAACAACTCCATCACCAACAACTCTTCCTTCAACAACTCCATCACCAACAACTCCATCACCAACAACTCCATCACCAACAACTCTTCCTTCAACAACTCCATCAGCAACAACTCTTCCTTCAACAACTCCATCACCAACAACTCTTCCTTCAACATCTCCATCACCAACAACTCATCACCAATCAAGTAAGACTTAAAGGACGTATTTATAAAAACAAAAACCAAATGATAATATTATTTACAAGTGAGAACATCAACTGTATTTTTTTTCCGTAAAATGCTCTCCCTGCAGCTCCTCCTATTCTCTTTGAATATATCATCTTGGCTGAGTTGAGCACCACAGATGTCACTCTAATAAATCAACTGAGTACCATTCTGAGAAGCATCCGTTACCCCTTTATCCTCACAACGCACAAATTCCTTGATGTAAACATTTCTACAGGTGCAGATACAATAATGTATATATGTGAAATATGTGTTGGTGTTGTCAACCCTAAGTGTGAATCTACCAGTGTAAAACAACACCTTTACTAATATGACAGTTAGAAAAACTCATTACATGTGTGAAATTCATTGTGTTTGTTGTTTGGTCTCAAGTTTGCTCCTCCGAGCAGTTCTGGTTACCAGTGCAGATGTGAGGATCAG